ATCTTGCCCATATTCAAACTGGAATTAATTTCTGATATTCTGATCCTGAGTGATTTGATTAATTACTCTGAGGGCAGTGTGAAGGAAGGGCTGGACCAAGGCAAGATCAGTCAGGAATTATTTTAATAATCTAGGAGAATGATGAAAACCTGAACCTAGGTAATGACAATATAGAGGAAGAGTGTAATTGAGAACTACAGAGGAGGTAGAACTAACTATATAGGTTGAAACAGAGAGGAGTCAAGGATGGTTCTCATGATAGTGGCTTCAGTGACCGAGCAGATGATAATACTTTTAACTGAGAAGAGAAAAACTGCAGAAGGGACAGGGTTGGTCTACATATTTATAAGGGGAGCAAAGGAGATGAGTTCTAACTTCGGATATGTTGGGTTTGAGATACCTATGAGGGTATCTAAGTGGAAGTGTCCAAAAGTAGTTGGAAATAGAGGTCTAGAACTTAGGAGAGTGATCTGGTTAGACACACAGATTAAGACAATGTAAAAACTATTAAAAATAATGAATAAGTTCAGCAAAATTGCAATATGTAAGATTAATATAAAAAATCAATTGCAGACTTAGCCAAAAACCTGGTGGGATTGAAGTTCCTAGGCTCAAAGGTGAAGGACCATAGACTCAGGGGACATCTATGTCAACTGGCACAACATAGTTCATAAAGACAAAGTTCTACATCCTATTTTGGTGAGTAGCGTCTGGGGTCTTAGAAGCTTGCAAGCGGCCAACTATTGGTCTCTTACCATCCAGAGCAAAGGAGAGTGAAGAATACCAAAGACTCAAGGGAGTAATTAGTCCAAAGGAGTAATGGACCCCAAAAACCACAGCCTACACAACCCCAAGACCAGAAGAACTAGATGGTGCGCAGCTACCACTACCGATTGCTCTGTCTGGGATCACAACAGAGGATCCCCGACAGAATGGGAGAAAAACTGTAGAATAAAAAATTGAATTCACAAAAAAGACTAGACTCACTGGTCTGAAAGAGACTGCAGGAACCCCCTGAGACTATGGCCCTAAGACACCCTTCTGAACTAGAACTGAAGCCATTCCGAGAGACCACCTTTCAGCCAAACCACAGACCCATTACAAACCAAACCTACTGCCATCAAGTCGATTCTGACTCATAGCGACCGTATAGGACAGAGTATAACTGCCCCATAGGTTTTACAAGGAGCAGCTGGTAGATTTGAACTGCTAACCTTTTGGTCAGCAGCCAGGCTCTTAACCACTGTACCACCAGGGCTCCAAACCATAGGCAGGCCCATAAAATAAACCGTAACACCCGAGAGGAATGTGCTGCTTAGAACAATCAATTATATGAGATCAAAAGGGCAACATTTGCCCAAAAGCAAGGATGAGAAGGCAGGAAGGGGTAGAAGATCAGGATGAAAGGAAATGGCGAACCTAGGACCGGAAATGGGAAGAGTGCTGACACATTGTGGAAAATGAAACCAACGTCATGGAACATTTTATGTACAAACTATTGAATGGGAAACTAATTTGCTTTATAAACTTTCACCTAATGAACAATAAAAAAGTTTTAAAAATCAATTGTATTTATATATATGTTAGCAATAAACAATCCAAAAATGAAATTAAGAACGCAATTCTATTTACAACAGCATCCAAAAGAATAAAATATACAGGAATAAGTTTAACCAAAGAAGCGTAGGACTTGTGTAGTGAAAACTACAAAACACCATTGGAGGAAATTAAAGAAGACTTTAATAAATGGAAAGACTTGCCACGCTCATAGACTGGAAGACTTAATATTGTAGAGATGGCAGTACCCTGAAAATTAATATACAAATTCAGTACAATCCCTATTAAAATGCCAGCTGACTTTTTTCCAAAAAAGTGACAAATTGATCATAAAATTCATATGGAAATACAAGGGACAAAAAATAGCCAAAACAATCTTGAAGAAGAAAATGTTGGAGGACTCTTACTTCCCAATTTCAAAATTCATACAAAGCAACAGTAATTAAGACCATGTGGTACTGCCATAAGAATAGCCATACACATCAACAGAACAGCAGTGAAGAGTCCAGAAATAAACCCATCATTTATGGCCAACTGATTTCTGACAAGGGTGCCAAGACAACTCAGTGGGAAAGAACAGCCTTTTCAACGAATACTGCTGTGACAACTGGATATCCACATGCAAAAGAATGAAGCTGAACCCCAACCTCAAACCATATGCAAAAATTAACTCAAAATGGACCAAAAACCTAAATGTAAGAGCTAAAACTAAGAAACTTTGAAAAGAAAATATAGGAGTAAAACTTCATGACCTTGGATTAAGCTATGGTTTCTTAGAAAGAACACCTAAAGCACAAGCAGACAAAGGAAAAAAACAGATACACTGGACTTCATCAAAATTAAAAACTTGTGCTTCAAAGGACACTAGCAAGAAAATGAAAAGACAATCTACACAATAGGAGAAAATATTTACAAATCATATATCTGATAAGGGTCTGTATCCATAATATATAAGGAACTCTCTCCATAAAGATACACAGATGGCCAATAAGCACATGAAAAGATGCTCAACATCCTTACCCATCAAGAAAATGCAGATCAAAAACCACAATGGGATATCACCCCACATCCACTAAAATGGCTATAATTAAAAAAAAAAAAAAAAAAAAGGACAATAACTTGTTAGGTCTCTTCAACAAGTGTTGGAAAGAATGTGGAGAGAAACTGGAATCCTCATCCATTGCTGGCAGGAATGTAAAATGGTGCCGCTGCTTTGGAAAACAGTTTGGCAGTTCATAAAACATAGATAAACACAGAATTACTATATGACCCAACAATTCCACTCCTAAGTATATACCCCAGAGAACTGAAAACATATGCTTACACAAAAACTTGTGTATCAATGTTTATAGCAGTATTCCTCATAACAGCCAAAAAGTGGAAACAACCCAAATGTCCATAAACTGAGGAACAGATAAACAAATGTGGTATTGTCTACACAATGGAATATTATTCAGCCATTAAAAAAACAAATGAAGCACTGATACATGCTGTAACATGGATAAATCTTGAAAATATTAATGCTAATTGAAATAAGCCAGTCACATATTGTATGATTACATTTATATGAAATATCTAAAACAGGCAAATCCATGAAGACAGAATGGAGATTAATGATTATCAGGGGCTGGGGGAGGGAAGATAGGAGTGACTGCTAATTGGTATGAGATTTCTTCTAGGGATGATGAAAATGTTCTGGAATTAGATAGTGGTGATGGTTGCAGAACCTTGTGAATATACTAAAAACCATGGAATTGCACTCTTTAAAAGTGTGAATTTTATGGTACATGAATTATATTGCAAAAAAAAAAAAAAAGGGGGTTATAGAAGCTATAGGATCAATGTAGTAAATGCCAGGGAAAGTGTATAAGGTCATAAGAAAAAAAGCTGGGAAATACCAGTATTTGAGCAGTAAATAGAAGAAAAGGAATGGGTTCCATGAAGTACTGTAGTCAGAGTAGTAGGAAGAGACCAAGATGAGAAGGATGGCTCAGAAGCTAGGGGAAGAATTTAATGAAGGAAGAAGATGTTAACAGGCCAAATCTTGGAAATCATGGGGGACTGGCTGTGTGTGTGTGTGTGTGTGTGTGTGTGTGTGTGTGTGTGTGTGTGTCTGTGTGTCTGTGTGTGTCTGTGTGTGTCTGTGTGTGAGTGTATGTGTAGGAGAGGTATTTTTTAGAGCTTAGTATATGCCTGGCACCAGGCTGGATGTTAACAAGTGTTCTCGTATTTAATCCTTACAACAAACTTCTGGTTAGGTGTTATTATGTCCAGTAAAATAAGTACTAAAAACTCTAAGTTGGATTTTGGCAAAATGGGAGTATCTGGTGACTTCAGTGAGAGCAGTTTTAGTAGGGTGATGGTGACAAGCATAGCTATAGTGGGTTAAGTGTGAAAGGAAGGTGGAATGGTAAGTTTGACTGTGGAGGAAAGAAAGAGGTAAGGTTGTAGTTAGCAGAGCCATAAGGTTGATCTACCTTTCTCCCCTTTAAGGCAGAAGAGCATTTGACAGGTTTATAAGCAGAAGGGAAGGAGGGACTAGAAAATAAGAGGTAAAGATGTGGAAAAGAGTGTGTGGGGGTATGACTGCTAGAGCGAGCACCCTAAAGCATTAGATAAGGGTCACTCTTAGCCAGAAGGAACAGCCCCTTCCAACAAAATAGGAAAAAAATAAAAAAGGACAGGATGAGTATAGGTTGATGGGATGGTGACAGTCAATGGAGTTATCACTTGAAAATATTTATTTTCTTGATTAAGGAGGAGGCAAAGTCTTATGTTCAGAGTGAGGCAAGTTAGCGGTGGGATGAGGGCCTTGAGAAAAGTGATGAAAACTGGGACTAGCTGATTGTGGAATGAAAAAGAAAACTGACTGTGGACGAGGAAGAGGACTGCCAAGCTACACTGCCGGTCTGACTGGAGTTAGAAAGCACCGATTTTTGTGACATCCAACTACCACTTAACTTGGCTTTCTCTAACAATGCATTGTTAAATGCCAAGGATGACCTGTCATTTGAGCCCCATGTAACCTATGTGATATTTGGTTGTCTCGTTTGAAGTATATACTGCTTCCCCTTCAGAGAATTGCAGTGAAGATCACATAAAATTGTATGTATGTGTGTTTAACACACTTAAATGAAAATATTACTGGTACGTAAAGTGTTACTTTAATGATAATTTTGGCAGCTCTCTGGCTCTGGCCTAAAGGGCCCATGGAGATGACAAGTTTCCTCTATACCCCCTCATCCCTTGGGGTAGCAAGGTCTTGCCCCTAGCAATCCTCATTGACCAGTCCAGAGCATCCCACTGAAGGGCATCAAAGAGCCCTCATCTCTTATAAATTTGATATGGGACCTGGCATATTGTAGGCACTCAGATAAAAATCTGCAGTAATCCTCCTCTCACCCTGTTCCTCTTCCCGCTCAATCAGTAACTGGATGCCCTACCTTTGGGTGTGGTTTCTGAGGCATTAAGGGCTCCCTGAATGACTGCCTGGGCCTCAGAATTCTTTTTCTTCAGAAAGTCGATGGTTTCTCGCAAGTCCAGCAGCTCGGTGTCCTAAGAGAGAGATGAAAATAGTGTGATTAGTTGGGATTAGGAACACCTACTGTGTGCCAGACAATGGACTAGGCACCCGAATTCTACTAGACTTGATGGGGAAGGGTGGGGAATCAGGACAAGGAATATGTTCACATTATATTGAGGGAGAGGTTAAGAACTCAGGGCAACAGAAAGGGAGGGAAAAACTGGCACTCGTGGGAATGAAGAGGAGGTTAGCCTTAGCCTATCTGTTCAGGAGAATCTGATCATCGCATTAGTTCCTCCCCTCCCCAGGTCACTCACCTTCTCCTCTGCTGTCTCTGCCAGGTGTCGTAGGCGGGATGTCATATTCACCAGGCTCTGCTCAAAAGCAGCCACTAGATTAGCCTGAAACAAGCAGATAAAGAGGTTCCTATGTTGGGTGAGGCTAGGGGAACGTAAAGGACTGACACAGGAAGCAGTATTAGCTGAGTTCTGTGTCTCAGAGCGGATCAATGCCAACAAACTTCTTAGTGATTTTTAAATATCGATTTCCCTGTGCAGGCAAAGTGGAATCAAACAACTTCCTAGCCTGAAGAAATTTTCTGGCAGGGGCCAGCGTTTTGAATAATGAAACAGTACAGACAGCATCAGAGTAGGGTAGGTTTTGGAGACTCTTGGACTCTTGAGACCCCATACCTATCACCTACCAGAGGTGGGACTGTCCCTCTGCCCTCTGTGATATGTGGAATGGCACGCTTTGGGGGAGAGCCATAAAACCTGGGGTTGTTCCTATGATTTTGGTTAAACTCTTCTATTGTCTAACAGGCCAGCCCCATGGGTCCAAGTAACCTCCCGGGAAAAACTGTTCAACTGGTACATCTCTTCCATCTCTGCTCCTAGGGTGGCCCTCCGTTCTTAACTCATTTTTCCTTTGGAGCTGTCTCTTGTTGCTTGCTTCTTCAGGCTGTAGAGAAGTAGCTTTAAGAAACTTCAGGGGCATTCCACAGTTTTGCCACTAGGTGTCAGGTCTGTTCCATAAGGAGGGAAGGATACCAAGGGGCCCTCTTGTAAGAGGCAGGCTGGGGAAAGGTGTTGAGTGGGGCTAATGCCACTTGGAGCAAATATGATTCCCTGCGTGGTTTGAATGCTAGCTGGCCAACTGGCAGCAAGATGGATAGGAAAGGTGAAAGGATGAGGCATGGGACTCAAAAGGGGAATATTCAGGGATGGAGAAATAGCTATCAGTGGCGGGTATCTGAGCAAGTTGGTGACCCTAGCAAGTGAAGAACATATTCGGGGCAGGTCCTTCATACAGAGCTCTAGGATCCCTGTGACACACTCTCACTTCTTCCTGTCTGCTAATAATTCTCTCTCCCTGTTGAGTCAACTCTAGTTTTCACTCATTGCCCTTGAAACACGCCTGGAGCCTACATTCATTTGATCTTGGCTGTAGGCAATCCTTTGGCCCCATCTGAGCCTCCTATGCTACTTTTACTATAAATCTATCTGTCAAGGTCTGGGCTCCTTCACAGATACATGCCATGATCCTGAGCAGTTTACTTTCTCCTATATACAGGGAACTTCCATCTTCTTGACCTCATGTCTTTTCTTGTTTACATCTCTGCACCCCCAGCCTGTGTGTGTAAATTTGTAGTTTACACTGCTTGTAGTCCCTGGAAATCTCCCACTCACAAGAGGCCTCATGAATCCCGTCTGCTGCTCTGTGTTGGCCACACCTCATGGACAGGATTCCCTTTACTCGGGTTGGGCTCTCTTCCCTTCTGTCTCTTGCATTTACTCTCCCTACTCTGAACCTCCCCCTAATCTCCAGCCTCATAGTAGGGTACGTTAAGACCTCAGGGCTAAGTAGGGGTGCTGTAACAGAGGCTGGCATTTGACAGGGACAAAGTGGTCTGGGGCCCCTCCCTGTCTAGGGTGTGCCCTCAGCTTCAGCAGCTGCTAAGTTCCATGGAACACGACAAAAGCTTGGTCTGGAATCAGGATCCTGAGAAGGGCTGTGGAACCGTACCAGGGTCTCCTGCTTGGAAGAGGGCTCTGACCCTGGGCAAAACACTGTCTTTAAGAATCAGAGCCCACCATGTCTGGGTGTTCAGTTTATTCTCTCTTAAGCCAAAGGAACTTCCTGTTCTAAGAAAAATCACCCTTTAAATTCCTTTTCTTGGCTCCATCCTAGCCTTGACAGCACGACGGTTGACAGATTGCAGTGTAAATGAATCAGACATAATAATGTTCTCTGCCTCCGTGGCGCCTCTCTCCCCAGCATCTCCCAGACATGAATTTCCTGGGGTATGCAGGACGTGACCCAGGCCACCGGCCTTGGTGGGTGGGGCACAAGGGAGAGAAGAGATGATGCTTGTTTATAGTACAAATCTTCTGGGTCCCCAAAGTGGGAAGAAGGGCTGGATATCAGCTTCAAACAAACTGGTAAGTGTACAACTTATGAACTGAGGATTGGGGAAAAGAAAAGAGGATAACTAGTGTGGTGAGGGGACTTCTGTTGAAATATATCAGAAATATGTAAAATACTGATGGAGATCTTCTACCTGATTCCAAGGGATGGCCCCCAGGCCTGACAGCTGGGTTCCCCAGAGAGGAAGGGAAGAGAAAAACCCAGGAACGATTGCGGAAACTGCAGGCATGGTTACTTTTGTGCAAACACTTGGAAAGCTCCTGCAGATCCGGCTCAGCTGTTGTTTACAGCTTTAGGGGAAAATGGCTCTTATGTTCTCTGTTTGCAACTCAGTCCCAGGGGAGAAACGACCACAGCCTACCTAGAGGAAGTGGCTTCATTTCTCCCCATCTCACAGAGGAGAAAAACCAAGGTTTAAAGAAATAAAATAACTCACTCTAAACGGATGCACTGAGGGCAGCCTGAGGGAAGAAACAAAGAATTCTGGCTCCCAACCTAAAGCTCAGATAGTTTTTGCCAGCTTCCCGAGGAGACTACCAGGAAGAGGCAGTTCTGAATGAAGAATGAGACTAGAATGGGAGTTGGGTTTCCAAGTGGTGTGTCGTGGTCATTAGAATTCTAATGTAAAAAAGAGACATGAACACACCCCAGGTCAGTGGTAAAGGCCTCCAAGGGCCCTATAATTATAATATGTAACTATTTTTGTCCATGGCCAATGGCAAGGTTGTTTTCACATCAAGGCAGAACCAATGATAATTCTTTCTCTCTAGAAAGTTTAAAGACCACTGCAGACATGAACTCATCTATACCTATTAGAGTGGGGGCAAAAATGATTCTTTATAAAAATTGAGGCGCAGGGAAGGACAATCCCCCAATCTTCTATTGTAGAGCTGTGAAGGGACCTGTTCCCTTGGAGTCTAAGCCCAGGGTGTATTTTGTCAGGTAATGTTCCTTCCTTGGCTGCACTTATCTAATTCATGGCCAGAATAACCGCCTGGTCTTCCCTTGCTTTATGGCACTTACATTGGCAGAAAGCTGAGATGTCAGGGTGGCCACTTTTTCTTGGGATGATTCCAGTTCCCTACGAAGCTTCCGGATTTGCTGTGAAAGGAAGAGAAATACAAACTAACGGTGGCAGAAGAAGTATAAGATTTGGAAGGAAAAGGGGGTGCAGTGGTGTTAACAAGCAGAGACAAAGGCTTTGCACCCTACCTCAGATTGCATCCTCTCTTCAGCCTGAAGAAGGGAGCACAGACGGAGAGAAAGAGAGAGAAAGGAAGTAGTTACTATGGAGGTGAAGAAGCCGGTCCCAGTGGCAGGGTAGAGAACTTGAAGAAGCGTGATTCAGAGGTGCAAAGAGACTGAAACTCTGTTTCCTGCTCCTGGCTCCTCCAAAGACTTGGCTCAGACCCTATCCAAAAAAACCAAACCCAATGCCATCTAGTTGATTCTGACTCATAGTAACCCCATAGTACCGAGAAGAACTGCCCTGTAGGGTTTCCAAGGCTATAACCTTTTTTTAAAAAAACTCTTTTATTGTTGTTGAGAATACACACAGCAAAACATACACAAATTCAACAGTTTCTACATGTACCATTTAGTAACACTGATTACATCCTTTGAGTTGTGCGACCATTCTCACCCTCCTTTTCTGACTTGTTTCTCCCTCATTAATATAAACTCACTGCCCCCTAAGGTTGGTATCTAATTTTTTGTTGTCAATTTGATCCCATATAGATTAAGTCTTAAAAGAGCATAATGCTCAAGGCAGAACTTTTTTTACTAGTTAAGCTAAACTACTGTTTGGTTTTAAGATGACTTCAGGGGATAGTTTTGGTTTAAGGTTTAAAGATTATCTCACGGCAATAGTTTCAAGGGTTTATCCACCCTCCATGGCTCCAGAAAGTGTGGAGTCCGTGAGAATATGAAATTCTGTTTTGCATTTTCCCCCTTTTGATCAGGATTCTTCCATGGATTCTTTGATCAAAATGTTCAGTAATGGTAGGCGGGCACCATCAAGTTCTTCTGGCTTCATGGCAAAGGAGGCAGTTGTTCATGGAGGCAATTAGCCACACATTCCATATCCTCCTCCTATTACTGACTCTCCTTCTTCCTCTCTTGCTCCAGGTGAATAGAGATCAATTGTTGTGCTCTGGATGGCCATTTGCAAGCTTTTAAGACCTCAGGCACTACCCAATGAACTAGGAGGTAGAACAGAAGCGGTAAACACATTATTAGGCCAATTAACTGAGATGTCCCATGAAACCATAAAACCTCCAAACCAAGGAACCAAATCCCATGAGGTGTTTGGTTATACATAAGCAGCCTCAGCTACTCTTTTTTTTTTTTTTTTGTCATTGTTGTAAATGTATCTATCACAGAAGTTTTGCAGGTGTACAACCTATTGACAGCAATTACAATAATCGGCTGTGCAACACTATCCTTAATCAATGCAATTTTTCCATCACCGTTAACTCCCTTTATCCCCCTCCCTCCTGCTCCCGGTAACTACTAATAAACTCTGGTCTTTGTACTTTTGCCTTTTCTTGTCTTTTTATATAAATGAGTTCATACCATTTTTGTCCTTTTGTGAATGGCTTATTTTGCTCAGCATAATGTCTTCAAGCTGCATCTATATTGTAGCATATATCAAGACTTCATTTCTCCTACTGGCTGAGTAGTATTCCATTGTATGTATGTGCCACATTTTGTTCATCTGTTCATCTGCTGATGGGCATTTAGGTTGTTTTCACCTTTTGGCTACTGTGAATAGTGCTGCAATGAACATCGGTGTATAAGACTCCATTTTAGTCTCTGCTTTCAACTCTCTGGGGTATATATCTAGGAGTGGAATTGTTAGGTCATACGGTAGTTCTATTTTTAGTTTTTTGAGGAACCTCCACACTGTTTTCTACAATGGCTGTACCATTTTGCATTCCTATCAGCAACGTTTAAGGGTTCCAATTTCCTCACGTCATTGCCAACATTTGTTATTTTCTTTTTTTAAATCTTAGCCTTACTAGTGGGAGTGAAATGGTATCTCATTGTGGTTTTGATTTGCATCTCTCTGATGGCTAATGACACTGAGTATCTTTTCATGTGTTTGGTCGCCATTTGAATGTTCTATTTGGTGAAATATCTATTTAAGTCCTTTGCCTATTTTATGATTGGGTTATTTGTCTTTTTATTGTTAAGCTGTCAAAGTTTATATAAATTTTGTTTATTAGATTCTTGTCGGATATATTGTTTCTGAAGATATTCTCCCAGTCGATAGCTTGTCTTTTCACTTTTTTGGTAAAGTCTTTTGATGAACTTAAGTTTTTAATTTTTATGCGGTCCTGTTTATTTATTTTGTCTTTTGCTGCTTGTGCTTTTGTTATTATAGTAGATAATCCATTTTTAAAAGCTAGGCCTAACATTGCCTCTGCTTGTACTTCTAAGAATTTAATTTTAATCCTTAATCCATTTTGAATTTGTTTTTGTATATGGTGTGAGGCATGGATCCTGTTTCACTTTTCTGCATGTGGAAATCCAATTTTCACAGCACCATTTATTGAAGAAGCTCTTCTTTCCCCATCCAATGGGCTTAGCACCCTTGTCAAAAATCAGCTGACCATAGATATGTGGGTTTATTTCTGGACTCTCAATTCTATCCATTGGCTTATGTGTCTTGTTATACCAGTACCAGTCTGTTTTGATTACTATAGCTGTATAAAACAAACACACAAACAAAAAACCAAAAAACAAAAATCAAACCTGTTGCCGTTGAGTCCATTCCAACTCATACTGACCCTATAGGACAGAGTAGAACTGCCCCATCGGGTTTCCAGTGAGCAGCTGGTGGATTCAAACTGCTGACCTTTTGGTTAGCAGCCAAGCTCTTAACCACTGGGCCACCAAGGCTCCCTGTAGCTCTATTAAAAAAAACCAAACCTGTTGCTGTTGAGTTGATTCCAACTTATAGCAACTCCATAGGCCAGAGGAGAACTGCCCCATAGGGTTTCCAAGGAGCGGCTAGGGGATTTGAACTGCCAACCTTTTGGTTAGCAGCAGAGCTCTTAACTACTGTGCCACCAGGGCTCTGTAGCTGTATAGTATGTTTTAAGAATCAGGAAGTGTGAATCCTCCTACTGTGTTCTTCTTTTTCAACATTTTTTTAGCTATCTGAGGCCTCTTGCCATGCCACATACAGTTGAGAATTGGTTTTCCTATATCTGTAAAGAAGGCCATTGGAATCTTGATCAGGATTGCATTGAATCTATAGATAGCTTTGGGTAGTACTGATATCTTAACATATTAAGTATTCCAATCCAGGAACATGGAACATCTTTCCATTTATTTAATTCTTTAATCTCTTTCAGCAGTGTTTTACAGTTTTCGTTGTGTAAGTCCTTTATGTCCCTGGTTAGATTTATTCCTAGGTATTTTATTCTCTTAGATGCTATTGTAAATGTAATTGTTTCCCTAATTTCCCTTTCATATATCTCATTGCTGGTGTATAGAAACTCAACTGATTTTTGTTGACCTTATACCCTGCAACTTTGCTAAATTCCTCTATCAGCTCTAGAAATTTTCTTGTGGACTCTTTGGGATTTTCTACATATAGGATCCTATCATCTGCGAATAGAGATAACTTTACTTCTTTTCCAATCTGGATACTTTTTATTTCTTTTTCCTGTCTTTTGGCTAGGACTTTGGTGAGAGTGGGCACCCTTGTTTGTTCCCAAATTGAAGGGGAAAGGTCTCAGTCTTTCTCCATTAAGTATAACATTGGCTGCTGGCTTTTCATGTATGCCTTGAATCATAGTGAGGAATTTCCCGTCTATTCCAATCTTCTTCAGGGTTTTCATCAAGAAAGTTGTTGGATTTTGTTAAATGCTCTTTCTGCATCCATAGAGATGATCACGTGGTTCTTTTCCTTTGTTCTATTGATGTGGTGTACTATGTTGGTTGATTTTCTAATGTTGAACCATCCTTGCATTCCTGGAATAAATCCCACTTGGTCATGGTGTATGACTCTTTTAATATGCTATTGGATTGTGTTCAATAGTATTTTGTTGAAGATTTTTACATCTATATTCATAAGAGCTATTGGCCTGCAGTTTTCTTTTCTTGTGGTGTCTTTGTGTTTTTTGCCTATCAGGGTTATGTTTGCTTCATAGAATGAATTACAGGGTATTCCGTCCTTCTCTATCTTTTAGAAGATTTTAAATAGTATTCGTGCCAATTCTTCTCTAAATATTTGGTAGAATTCCCCAGTGAAGCCATCTTGTCCAGGACTTTTTTTTTGGGTCGGGAGGTTTTTGATCACTGATTTGATCTCTTCACTTGTTATGAGTCTGTTGAGACTTTCTATTTCCTCTTGAGTCAGTCTGGGTAGGTTCTGTGCTTCTAATAATTTGTCCATTTCATCTAGGTTATCCAGTTTGTTGCCATACAGTTGTTCAAAATATTCTGCCATAATTCTCTTTATTTCTATAGGGTCAGTTGTAATGTCCCTCTTTCATTTTTTATTTTGGTTATTTGATTCTTGTCTTTTCTTTGTCAGTCTAGCTAAAGGTTTGTCAGTTTTATTGATCTTTTCAAAGAACCAATTTCTGGCTTTATTGATTCTCTCTATTGTTTCTCTGTTTTTCATTTTATTTATTTCTTCCCTGATCTTTGTTATTTCTGTTCTTCTGGTAGGTTTAGGCTTAGTTTGCTCTTCTCTTTCTAGTTCCTGGAGTTGTTGAGTTAGGCTGTTAATTGGAGATCTTTTTTATTTTCTGTAGGCGTTTATTGCTAAAAGTTTCCGAGTACTACCTTTGCTGCATCCTATTGAGTTTCGGTATGTTCTGCTTTCATTTTTCATTTGACTCTAAGAAATTTGTGATTTCTCTTTTAATTCCTTTCTTGACCCATTGGTAGTTTAATAGTGTGTTGTTTAATTTCCATACGTTTGTGTATTTTCCAGGATTTTTTCTGTTATTGATTTCTAGCTTTACTCTGTTGTAGTCAGAGAAAATACTTTGTATGATTTCAGTCTTTTTAAATTTATCAAGACTTCCTTTGTGACCTAAAATGTGGTCTATCCTGGAGAATGAGCCATGTGCAGTAGAGTAGGATGTATATTGTGCTGTTTTGGGGTGGAGTGTTCTATATATGTCTGTTAAGTCTAGTTGGTTTACAGTGTCATTCAGGTCCTCTGTTTCCTTGTTGATCTTCTTTCTAGATTTTCTGTCCAATATTGAAAGTGGTGTATTGAAGTCTCCAGCTATTACTGTAGTACTATCTGTTTCTCCCTTCAATTCTGTCAGTGTTTGCTTTATATATTTAGGTGCCCTGAAGTTGTGTACATATGTTTATGATTGTTAAATATTCTTGATTAATTGACCCTTTTATCACTATATAATGTCCATCCCTATCTCTTCTGAAAGAATTTGTCTTAAAGTCTACTTTGTCTGATATTAAGATTGCCACCTCAGCTCTCTTGTAGTTATTATTTGCATGGAATACTTGTTTCCATCCTTTCACTTTCAACCTATTTGTGTCCTTGAGTTTAAGGTCTGTCTCTTGAAACAGCATATAGTTGGATCATGTTTTTTTATCCATTCTGCCACTGTCTGCCTTTTGATTGGAGCATTTAGTCCATTTACATTCACTGTAACTACTGGTAAGAAGTGACTAACTTCTGCCATTTTCTTATTTATTTTTTTGCATGTCTTAAGCCTTCTTTGTCTTTGTCCTTTAGTACTGCTTGCTTTTGTGTTTTGCTGGTTTATTGTAGTGAGTCTTTTTGGTTCCGTTCTCCTTTCCTTTTGTGTATTTTTTTTAAATATATTTTCTTAGTGGTTACCATGAATATTACATTTAAGAGCTTGTATGTATAACATACTAAGAGCCTTGGTAGCATAGTGGTTAAGAGCCTGGCTGCTGAGCAAAAGGCTGTCAGTTTGAATCTACCAGCTGCTCCTTGGAAACCCTATGGGGCAGTTCTGTCTGTCCTATAAGGTCTCTATGAGTCAAAATCAACTCAATGGCAACAGGGTTTTTTTGATTTATAACATTCTAGGGTAAGTTGGTACCAACTTAACTTTAGTAACATACAAGAAATTCTATATCTATACAGTTCCTCTCCCTCCCCTTTTTTGTTGTTGTTATCACTGATTGCATCTTAACACTTCATGCGCCCTCCAACAAAATTTTATTCTTGCCTCTTATGTATCTGTTATTAAAAAACATGAAGGACAAAACATTTAGTATTATCAAGCATGAATACCTTATTACTAGCCCTTATACTTGTCCATGTACTTCCCTTTATTAGGAATCTTTCTTTTTATGTACAGCTTCGAATTACTTTCTAGGGTCTTCTCCCTTCCATCTAAAGAACTCCCATTAGTATTTTTTATAGGGCTGATCTGAGGGATGAGTTCTCTCAGTTTCTGTTTGTCTGGGAATGTTTTAATTTCACCCTCACTCTTGAAGGATAGTTGGCAGTTTTTTTTCTTTTTCTTTCAGCACTTTAAATATATCATTCCATTGCCTTTTGGCCTCCAATGTTTCTGAGGAAAAACTGGCATTTAATCTTATTGGAGATCCTTTGTATGTGACTGTTTGCTTCCCTCTCACTGCTTTCAGAATTCTCTCTTTATCTTTAATTTTTGAGAGCCTAACTATGATGTGTCTTGGTGTAGATCTCTTTGGGTTTATCCTGCTTGGGGTTCTTTGAGTTTCTTGGAGTTGTAGATTCATGCCTTTTGTTAGACTGGGGACATTTTCTGTCATTATTTCTTTAAATATTCCTTCTGTCCCTTTCTCTCTCTCATCTCCTTTTGGAAGTCCCAAGATATGTATATTAGGTCTCTTGTTGTCCCATAATTCCATTAAATTGTGTTCAGCCTTCTTGATCCTCCATTCTTGTTGCTCTTCAGTGTCTGTAATTTTAATTGTCAGATCGTCTAATTTGCTGTTCTTTCTTCTGCTGGTTAAGTCCTTCTATTGTGCTTCTCATTTCAGTTATTGTCGCTTTCAGTTGCAATCTCTTTTTTTTAGATCCGCATTTTGTTCCTGCATGGTTTTCCTTATTTCTTTTAACTCTTTGTCTATGTTTTCCCTTAGTTCTTTAATTATATTTAATGTTGTTGTATTATATTCTTCCATTTTTTTCATTATTTGGTCATCCCTAGATGTACTTTCACTCCCTTTGTCATGTTCACTTAGATGGGCCATTGTTTCTCTGTTCTTTGTGTGTGTTGTGATTTTTTTGTTGGGGCACTGGAATTTTCGAGGGTGTTAATTTTCTCATTTTCCCCCAGTATTTGGTGTTTTTATCCACACTATTTTCTGCAAGAAACTCTTAGGTGGGCAGAGCCTTTAGCCTTTGCTTACCATTCCCTCTCCCTCTCTGTGATAACTCCTTTTCCCTCCCTGGTTTAGTTGGAATTTGAAAGTTCCAGATCTCGTTTTTCAACTTTCAATCTCTCCCAAACACGCCAGACAACACACTGTGGTCAGTCTGTCCGCCACCAATGGGCACCGCCACTCAGGCGAGATATTGTGTACTAATCAATCTGTCCACCAGGAGGCACAGTCCCGTCTGTCTGCTTACTACTGCCTTCCCTTCTGTTTCTGCAATCACGTTTTCAGTCAGAAAATCCACACTCAGTAAGTTGGGGCTGGGTATTGCCCTCTGGTTTTGCCTGAGGTTTCCTTCCCTACTCTGTGGAGACTGCTTATAGCTGAACTGGCGTTCAGGGAAGCACAGGCAGATTTTCTTCTGTTTCAGGAGGAGGAGAAGCTGGCACTCCCCAGAAGGACCTCTGAGAGATCTGTTTCATTCGTTTCAGAGCCCCAGTGGCCCTGTGGTGGTTGGGGGAGCAGTCTCCACTTAGGTGACCCACTTCTTGACTCCACTGTAGGGAACTTTCTGTAGTTCTTATCAGTACAGCAGCTGACAGTTACTGGTTGGAGAAGGGGTAGTCACACTCCGAACGGACCCCCAGAGAGGTCTGTCTTGTTGATATCAGAGCCAGCCCTGTAGTATGTTGGCTGTGGGTGTAGCCTCCACTCAAGATTCCTGGTTCCTAGCACACAGCTGCCTAAGTCAGCAGTCCTCAGTACTGACTGTAACGGGGAGCAGACAGATCCAAACTGATCCCCAGGGAGGTCTATCCTGTTGGTTTCAGAGGCATGAGCTATGGGGTACACAGGGAAGCAGGTATAGTGCTCAATATGGGAGCAGACTCCACTGCAAGGGGTCTTTTGTAGCAGTTTGCAACAGCCTGGCAACCAACAATTACCATGTAGGGGAGGGGGTGTCACGCTTTGGTCAGATCCCCATGGAATTCTGCCTTGTTGTTGTCAGAGTCCCCCCAGTAGATTGTTGGCTGTGAGTGCATCCTCTACTGCAGACTCCTGCTTCCTAACACACAGCAGCCTCAGTCAGCAGTCCTCAGTGCCAACTGGAAGTGGGGGCAAACTAACCCTAATTGACCCCCAGGGAGGTTTGTCCTATTGGTTTCAAAGGCCAGAGGTATGGGGTGTACCGGGAGGCAGGGAGAGTGCTGACTATGGGAGCCGACTCCACTGCATGAGCCTTCTGCAGCAATTCAAAGTAGGCTTACAGCCGACAGTGTCTGGGTTGGGGAGGTGCTGGCACACTCCAAATGGATCCCCGGGGAGGTCTGCCTTGTTGCCTTCATGGCCCCTACTGGAGTATGTTGGCTATGGGTGTAGCCTCCATTAAAGATGCCAGCTTCTTAAGACACAGCAGCCTCAGTCAGCAGTCCTCAGCACTGACTGAAAGGGGAACAGACAGGCCACAACTGACTCCCTGGGAGGTCTGTCCTGTTGGTTTCAGAAGCCTGAGCTATGGGGTACACAGGGAAGCAGAGAGTGTTGACTGTGAGAGCAGACTCCACTGCACCAGCCTTCTGTAGCAATCTGCAGTAAGTTTGCAATTGACAGTGTCTGGGTGGAGAGGTGCTGGCACACTCCAAATGGACCCCTGGGGAGGTCTGCATTGTTGATTTTAGAGCAGACACTTGGGGTCTTGTCTCTTTGTACAAGCAGGGGCTGTGACAGTTAGGGAAACAGGCTCTTTTTCTGGTGCTACTACCCCAGTTCACAGCAGCTTGTGGCCCCTGTGGCTGGGGGAGGGGGAGGGATGGTGGGAGAAGTGATTTTCCTACCATATGTGACTCATTGATTTGTTGATTCTTGCCTGTCTGCAGTTCCCCGCTGCTTTCCTCTGCTCCCCAATTCAGAGTCCCTCAAAGCAGAGCACCATTCCTTGTTGTATTTTAGGGGGAGGGTCAGAATGATGGTTTGTTTACGCCAGCATTTTCCAAGGCTGTAATCTTTATGGAAGCAGATTGCCACATTTTCTTCCCACAGTGCAGCTAGTGGGTTTGAACCACCGACCTTTTGGTTAGCAGCTGAGCACTTAACCACTGGACCACCAGGACACCTTTCAGACCCTATACTGTGCCACCAGGGCACCTTTCAGACCATATAAAAGATTTCTGTGGTGCTCATCTCCAGCCAATTTTTAATTGCCAAGAAGGCTAGGAAATAAAAATTTGGTTGTTCTAAAGACTAACCCTTACTGCCAGCAACTTAAAGGAGTAAAGAATTAGGAGCAGAACAAATCTCAGAGTCAGATAATACCTAGCAGCCAAATGTAGTGCCTGGTGCCCCAGATTGAACACTTTCAATAAATTCTGTAATTACTAAAATTCCAGAGACTGAGGAATCCCCTATCTCACCTTGCGATAAATGCTCCCTACTTACCACGGCACAGAAAGGGCTCTGTAACGGGATTCTCTATTTTTCAAGGGAGGGGAACAGAAAATCACGGGAGTTGCTCAGGAGTTGGTGGTGAAGCCAGGAAGACCACCGAGGAACTGAATCACCCAATTGAGCACTCTAAGCTATAGGTATTTTCCCCCACACTTACCCCAGATCTATAGGCACAATGAAGAGGCAGCAGTGCCCCTCAGCCCCCACCCAGCTACCCAACCAAAGGAGCTTCAAGAACAGATAGAATGGTGGGGAGAAGGGGTGAGGGAAGAAGAGAAATTAATGCTCTTACTGAGGAGTAAGTGGAGGAGGCACTGGAGGCCAGGGACAGCACTGAGCCATGAACTGAAAGAGAAGCAGAACACAAAGAGTTAACAGAGGGCTCCAGGACAAGGGGTTCCTAAGGCAGGAGTTTGGATTCTGATTCTGGAGGAGCAAACAGAAAGAACAGAATAGGGGACCCAATTGGTATCACAACAGCCCAAAGCAGGTATCTCTGCTACGGAGACAAGGTTCCGAGTAGAGACAGTCTCCTCTCTCGGTCTATATTCTCTAGCAGCCTGGGAATGGTGGTCCCTTGCTTAGCCTGCTCCGAGGGACACAGGACTTAAGGGAAGGGGGAAGGAGATTTTCATGGGCAAGGCGTCATCTTCCCAATCAGGACAGTACATTAGCTGCAGAGGAGGGGAGTTTCTCATCAGAGCTGTTCAGAACAAATACTGCAGTTCTGCCTGTGCCTCCTCTTCTCAGCACTTGGGAACTTGCCTAGGATCCTGAGGATCATTCAGATGAAAAAAAAAAAAACTTAAGTGAGGAATATTCATTCTGATTACTCCATAGAGCCCTACTGAAAGAACACCTGCAAGGAATGCCTTCTGGAATGAGTGTCCTGAAAATAACAATGGGATGTCTAGTCTATCATAAAGCCTAGTCTTCCAGGCTCTGACCAACATTAACACTCAGATCACCACCAACAACCAGATGGTCCCCTCTGAAGCTAATAAGCTTTGGAATATTCTTGAAGGAGGAATGAGATGCCTAATTCTTTGCAAAGATTTAAAGGATTTAAGAGCTACCATTATGTCCTCTTATCTTTTCATACATTCTAAAAGACTGTGGGGAGGAAAGACTACTGCTAGAATGAGGAGGATGGGAGCTGTGGTTTTCAGAGTATTCTGATGGGTACCATTTAACCCTTCCATGCTTAACTTCCCTCCCCCAGCCCCAATGATAAATGCTCCATCCCAGAGCACAGTACTAGATGGTGCCACCCAAGGTGTCTGGGCCCCCAGACCCTTCAAAGGGATGGGAAGAAAGAACTGAAATGGCCCCAACTGGATGTTCTGTGAATCATATATGTGCGTGTGGTGGTGGTAGTGGTGGTAGTGGAGGTGGTGGTGGGTGAGGGGACCCAGCAGAGCTGGAATGAGCGTGAACCGCGCTAGCATGAAGTCTCACCATCGTCCGTGGGGTCTCGGAAGGATCCTGACCGAATCATTCCCTTGGGTCTCTCGGCCAGGGACAGGGTGCTCCCCATTTGGGAGCCGCTGTACAGCTCGAAGGCCGCCTCGTGGGTGGGGATGCTGTTGGAGCGGGTGATTCTTGGCGTGGTGGCCGCAGTGGGACTCACTGGAAGGACAGAGGGAAGGGGGACAGGAGAGGGTGGGGGAAGGCAGGAGAAGAGGCAGGGTCATCAGCTCTCTGGTCCCTTGGGGAATGGAGCACCAGGAGCATGAGAGGCAAAGGCAAGAGGGCAGGAGAGGAAGGGGCAGGTGGGGCAGTGGGAGTGTGCAAGCAGCTGGTGGTTAGGAGCGGGGTCCTTCCTGGGGAGATCAAGCCCTAAAGGAGAAGGACTCTGCTATCTGGAATAAAGGGTGAAGAGCGTTTCCTATCTTAAAGAACTTTCCTTGGCCCTGCCTGCCCTAGAGTTGTTGCTTTTGAAGGTTAGGCTGGGGGCCTCGCAGCTTTTATGAAACCTTCACATCACACGGATGTGCCAATGAAAATGGGATGTAGTGGTTCTCTAAAATACAACTGGTGGCTTGGAGGACTGAGAATTCAGACCAAGACTGAGATCTGAATGATGAAAAAGAACCAGTTAGAGAAGGGGGCTAGGCTATAAAATCCCATGGGCTCAGCATTATGCAAGAGGGTAAAACTCTTCCCACAAAGCAGTGGCTTTGTGGCTTTCTAGGTTCCTGAGTCAGTTCTAAAGCATCCAGAAATCTGGCCCTCTGTGCCTAGCTTTCCTCTGGTTAGTAGGTCAGACAGACAGAGCAGGTGAAAATGTCAGGTAAAGCTTGTGAAGCCAGGCTCATCTGCATCCCTGTTGACCTTGAGAACCCTTCCCTTTGCTCCCTGCTAGGATTACAGCCTTTCAAAGTTGACACCCATATGGAACCACCTTGTCTATTCCTTTGCCTCCATACAGGCAGATGGCTGTCTAGTCCATTCATAAAGACCTGTGCAGAAGATGATTTCATAACACTTCTCTCTTGTTTCTTTTCACATTAGTAAGCTGTTTAGTCCGATCCCTCATCCTGCAGTGTAAATGCATTTCCTCTTGTTTGGCCCTAGTGGAGATGGAGAACAAGCTGGCTACATCCTCCATTTAATAACCCTTTAGAGACCAGGTGACCTTTCCTTAAGTATCATTCCCTTCTCTAGGCAAAATGATTCTGATTCCTAGTCTTTCTTTAAATTCCCCACAGTCATCACACGGGAATGTCCTTGTGTCCTTGGCTTTTCCTCACTGCCTTTCTTCTCTCAGCTGAAAGAGATGAGTTTAGCAACATGCAACAAGCAAACAACAGGCCTACCCAGGCACTGTCCAAAGGGAGTTGTGTCAGGCCAGTCATGACACACTGCTTCCCAGAATCAGGGCTGCTGTGCTTCTGTGCAAGGGCCAGGCCTTCTACCCGAAGCTTCTTCCCTTCCCTGTCTCTGAATCATGAAGCCTTCCTAGCTCTCCCTTCTCCTTAGGCTTTAGAAAAGGTATGGCCAGGACAAGTCTCAGACAGCTCTTCCTTCAGGGCTATGATGGCCCAGTCTCAGCCAGAGCAATTGGGAAATCTGGACTTTTCTGGGTTCAAAGGTAGATCCTACCCTTTGTGATCACGACCTTTTCTTCCTTCCTCCCCACCAGCCTAGCACTTCAGAACTGCCCTTTCACCAGCTCGTCGTTGCGGCATTGGGCGTGGGGCTCCTTGCTGGCAATGTTTGATCTCCAGGCCTCAGTTAATGGCTTTTCTGTGCTATCACTCAGACTTTCTGATGCTACAAGCCCCCTATGGAAGACTAAACAACTTGTGTCCAAGGGCAGCTTTCCAGTTTAGGATCTTGGAGCACTTTGCCTTCAATCTTATTTTGGATGAATAAACCGAGGTGCCATGATGCAATGGAATATAATGAGTCAAATACGAGATGAAAGCCAAAGCCCAGCTGCGTTGCCTCATCCTGCAGGGTGACCCTGCTTCATCCCATGCCACAATGAGTGACTGAAAACACTGACCTATGTTGGTAAGCTGGCCCTTTGCACTCAGGGACAGGGGGAGCGCAGGTGGAGAAGGCAGTTCTGACTGGTCGTCTGATTCGGGCAGCCCACTGATGGTATGGGAGTGTCGCCTCTCCTTGGTCTCCTCCTGGGACTGAAGCTGGTACCTATAGAAGGCAGCAGAAGAACTCTGTCTGGGCAACTACAACATGGTATCAGGGGTCTGGTTAATGTAGAGGATGTCTGAGCTAGGCCAGAGCCAAGAAATTCTGAAAGCAGGACAAGGAAAAGAGGGAGCAGAGGGGAGCTGCCCAAGAAGGGAGTAAAAGAGTAAAAAGGCTCAGCATCCTCTCCCAGACCATCAAGAGGGTACTGAAGGACTAGCAAGTGTCTCCACGAGATTCCTGAGGTGAGGACAGGAATGATGGAGGAAGCATTGGAACTTGTTCCCTGAAGCTCAGAACAGAGCTTTATGACCCCATATGTGGGCTGTCAGGTAGAAGGAGTCATCTAACAGCACAACTCAAGTCTGCAGTAACAGTGGAAAACCAGCTTTGTCCTGCCCCTTGCCCATTTGAGTGATCCCAGAGGCAGTCTGTTCTCCATCAGACTGTGAGGGAGGAAAATTACAGAGACGATATTCAGCCAGGACTGGGATAACACGGGCTGATACAAGTAAGTGTGATTCCCATGTGCAAACTTGTTCCTCCCCTCTCACCAACAAAGAATACTTGCTATAAGGCTGACTCACACATAATATTAAGCTTGGACAGGGTATTCAGAGATATTTATATAAGACCACATACAAATGACTGGGGGCCTGGGAGAGATCAAGTTATGACTTTTCATACAGACAAGGAGCCCCTGGTATAGGAAAGAAAAAAATACATTTAAGGGTTACCTGAGCCCTTTCTTGGGAAGGGTGTTCCGATCCCGCTGATTACTGGGAGATTAAAAAAAAGAGAGAGAGAAACATGTGGGTACATCTTAGAAACCAGTTTGGGACCGTAGTGTTGAGGGATGCAGATCTTGGACTCAGGACATCAAACTGTCAGCCCTTTCACCTTTATAAACAAATGAGAAGACAGCACAGCCTGCCTCTTGGTTCATAACTTGGGAAATTTATCTGAAATGGTACATGTTTTTCTCTACGTAGGACTCAGGGTGTGGTTAGTTTAAAGATCCTAGTTAAAAGATCCTTTCTCATGGGTGGAAAACAAGGTGTTGTATAAAAGAAACAGTTTTGGAATAGGAATTGAAAGCCTTATTAAATTCCAGGTCAAGCTAATTATGAGATCTTGGGTAAGTCACTTAACTTCTTTGTGCAGTGGATTCCCTATGGGGAATAATAATTTAAAAAGCAAAACAAAACAATGAAAAAACACTTGTCCTACCTATCTCCTGAAGTTTTTGTGAAGCAAATGGAATTACTTAATGTATGTGAAAATACTTTGAAAAGTCACAATGTGGCATACAAACAAAGGATAGTATTATTAATGGGAAAGAGCCCTGGTGGGCCAGTTGTTAAGCGCTTGGCTACTAACCAAAAGACTGGCAGTTCGGACCCACCAGCTGCTCCATGGGAGAAAGATGTGGCAATCTGCCTCTGTAAAAATTACAGCCTTGGAAACCCTATGGGGCAGTTCTACTCTGTCCTAAAGGGTTGCTGTGAGTTAGAATCGACTCAGTGGGTTTGGTGGGACAGGCTCAGAGAGCCCTGTCTCTATCCACTTACCCGTCCAGCTGCCCAGTTCTGGGGCTTCCACTCCAGGTCAGCTCTTCTGTCTCCTCCTCTGGGGGTGCAGCAGGGGGAGCAGGTGGGGTGGGGATGGGAGCACTGCTGGGAAAGGCACTGGGCAGGCTCATTGGCATCTGGAGGGACTCCATGCTCCTGTGCAGGCCTGAGAGTTTGGGGTACATGTGGGTCTCCTTTGGGACACTGAAACCACTCATTAGCTCCAGGCCCTGGGAGAAGCTGGCTGAGTTAATATTGAGGATGGGTGCTGGACTGGGGGTGAAGCAAGAAGGGAGAGGGGACCCAGTTGCTGAGCTTGTAGCGTGCAGATCTGGGACCTTCGAAGCGTGGGCATCACTGGAGGCTGGCAGATCCAGGCTGTTGGAGTTGACCTTATCTAGATTGGCTAGTGAAGGTGGCTTGACAAAGCTCTTAGCTGTGGTCCTGAGAGAAATCAAGACAAAACAAAATATTTAGAGTCACAGAACCATAGAAGCCAGAGGTAGATGGGCCCTTAGAGAAACCCTAGTCCGATTTCCTCGTTTCCTGACTACTCGCTAAGTACAGAGGTTGTTGTGAAATACACTGGAAGAACATCCAATACAGGTAGTTCTGATTTACGACGTATTCGAGTTACAATGAACCGCACTACAACAGTTTTTTTTTTTTTGGTACATCTTATCTTTAGTAATATGTACTACATATATTGTTGCAGCACATCATTTGCTGATATCACCACATCTGTAAGTTATGTAACCCCCAAAGACAAATAAAGATTGGATTTATAAAGATACTGATAATAAAAGACAACAATAATGAAAAAAAGTGAGAAATTCGACTTATATCAGAACTGACTTATGACAGAAAGTCATTGGAATGGAACCCCGGCGTCGTAAGTCAGGGGTACTTGTACTTGCCTCGGGGCATCTTTAGTCTAATGAGGGAGACAGCACATGCACATTGGAGAACAAGTGAATTTATACACACACGGGCATATGTGTGTAAATTAACATAGTAAAACTACCCGTATACATGCTGAAGGCAAGTTAAAGCTGACCAAGAAATAGTACAAAGGAGGTGAGTTTTGAATATAGTTTTGAAAGAGGGAGAAGGATGTTGGCACAGAGGGAGGAGAGGGGAATAACCCATGCAAGACTGACGATAAGAGCAGCCAGGCCACGCCTTGCCTAGTCCAAGGAGTGCAGGGATACGCAAAAGCATGACAGAGCAGACAGACAAGGAGGACGCTGCCCAGTTTACGGACCTGAGAGGAGTTGGTGGTAGCTCTGCCAACTTGGTGGCTGAGGGGTGACTTGCTTGGTTCTTGGGAGTACTCTCTGGGGAGCCAATGCTCTTCAGGGAGATGTTATCTGAGTCCAAGGCCACAGCCTTGGCTTTGGCCTTCTCCTTTTCCCGGTCCGTCTGATTGACAGGGGCTGGAGTGGTCCGCCCACTGGGTACCTTGGAAGGCTCCTTCAGTCTGGAGGGTGTAAGGCCTCCCTGCTTGGTGCTGAGGAGACTGGGGTCAATGCTGCTACTAACAGGGCGAGGTCCACCCCGCCCACCGGTGACACTCATAGAGCTCGACTTGGCTGGCCGGGGCAGGCTGCGGTACTGGATGTTGGAACGGGCTCCAGGAGCCAGGAATCCAGGCTCTGCACTGTTGGATACATCTAAGCTAGTCTTGCGTCCATTTACTGGCTTGACAGGGATGCCTGAGGACTTCTGGATCTTGCTGAGAGTGGCTGAACCACCAGTCTGCATGACGGTGGCCGTGCCTGTGGCAGGAGGCGGCTTCTTGTAGCCAAAGGATCCCGAAGTGGAGGGGCGAGCAATGCCCGAGGGGGGCTTCTTGGCATCGCTCAGGCGATCCCGGCCAGCATCAGAAGAGGAGCGCTGTAGGCCAGTATTCTTCACTGCAAGCTTACCCTTGTCTGTAGCTTTACCTTCAGGTTTGCCTGCAAGAGAGCAGGAAGAGGTAAAAGTAGCTCATATCTTGGCCAATGGATTGCAGAATTTTAGAGGCCTAAATATGGGCATGCAGCTGATAAGTCTCCTTCTTGCCAGAAGAGAGACTTTGGGTAGGGGTGCCTGGGATTTTACTTTTATTTATTTTGTTTTCTGTTCCCAGAGTAGGATAGTCCATTTTGGTTAAAATGGCGAGGCAACCACAAAGATTATCAAGAAGAAAGTTCATCTAACAACTGGTCAAGGAAGGGAAAAAAAGGAGAGGGAGAAAATGGACTAGGGTATAGAAATATCTACTGGAAATTAGTGACTAAAGGGAAATGTTGATGGAGGCTAAAAGTTACCCAAGGGGCCAACTTTGGGAGCGCTACAAATGCTACAGTCATTTCATTTATCATTTTCGTAGGCACTCCCTAGGATGTCAAGCAAGAACCTTGTGAAGATAAGTACACCAACCAAATGTCTTGGGAGCGAGAAGAAAGAAACCAATGGGAAGTGGTTGAAGGCAGGTCAAACTAGTCTCTAAACGTACCATACTCCCTCCACTCATCTACCTCTTACTAGCTGTGTGATTTTGGCCAAACCATTTAACTTTTTCCAGTTTCTATTTCCACCTGTATAAAATAGGGATAGTAATACCTGTCCTTCCTAACTCATGGGGCTGTTGTGAAGACCAAATAAGATTACAGCACTATGCAAATGTTTGCTGTAATGACCATTAAAAAGAGGAGCAACCAAAGAAATAGGTCTTTGCCTTTGTCCCTTCTTTTATTCCAGGCTTACCTGCAACTTTGAGGGCACTCTGGGCTGTATGAGTGATAGGGGACGTGACAGCAACTGGTGGGGTCTTTCCCTTTTTCAGGGAACCAGGGTGTCCCAGGCTGATGGGCTTTTTCAGTTCTCCAACCTTGGATGAATCATCACAACTCTCAGGCCGCTCTCTCCGCCACTTAGAAGTCCCAGGTTCCATCTTCAGGCTCCCACTGTCGTACTCCAGTTTTTTGGGGGCCTTCTCCTCCGATTCACTAAACCAGTTTAACCCGCTTTCTGCCAGAGAGCGCTTCTCTGAGTCTGTGCGTAGCTAAGAAGAAGAGAAAAAGGTAGAGTGAGATGCTTATTTGGGGATGGGGGAATGGATGGCTGAGGGGATTTATTTTGGTTGCTAGTGGCCCTGCGCTTCAAACAGTATTCAGTCAACCTAGGGTTTCTACCTATACTTCTGGGGTTCCAGATAGATGACATCATATATATTCCTGGGTTTCTTTTTTTCTTCAGTTGGAGTAGCTCTTAAGCATCACTCCAAATTGGTGTGGGCACTAAATATAGGCTCTACTCACTATGACAGCACCTAATGTCTCGGGTGGTTGCTGTTAACTGCCATTGAGTTGGCCCTCAATTCATGGTGACCCCATGCACAATGGGACTGGACCAATGTGATCCATAGGGTTTTCACTGGCTGACTTTTTGGAAGTAGATCTTCAGGGCTTTCTTCCTAGTCTGTCTTAGTCTGGAAGCTCCAGTGAAACCTGTTCAGCATCATACCAATACACAAGCCTCCAATGACAGACAGATGGTGGCTGTGCTTGAGGTGCATTGGCTGGGAATCGAACTCACATGCAAGCCTCCACTGACAGACAGATGGTGGCTGTGCTTGAGGTGCATTGGCTGGTAATCGAACCCGAGTCTCCTGCACGGAAGGTGAGAATTCTACCACTGAACTACTACTGCCCTCTAATGTCTTGGGTAGCCTCAGCCTTTTTTTCCAGCCCTAAAAGAACTTGGGAAACGCTGGTGGCATAGTGGTTAAGAGTTTGGCTGCTAACCAAAAAGGTGGGCAGTTCGAATCCACCAGGCACTCCTTGGTAACCCTACGGGGCAGTTCTACTCTGCCTTATAGGGTCACTATGAGTCAAAATCGACTCCATGCCACAGGTTTGGTTTTTTTTTTTTTTTGGTAAAAGAATTTGCCACCAACAAAAAAAAAGCCCTGGCCCAGATGGCTTCACCAGAGAATTCTACAAAACATTCAGAGAAGAGCTTGTACCAGTACTACTCAAGCTATTTCAGAGCATAGGAAAGGAAGCAACACTTCCGAATTCATTCTACGAAGCCAGCATAACCCTGATACCAAAACCAGGCAAAGATGCCACAAAAAAAGAAAATTACAGACCAATATCTCTCATGAATATAGATGCAAAAATTCTCAACAAAATTCTAGCCAATAGAATTCAGC